TGATTTTAAACTGAAAGAGGTTAGATTTAGATGGGACGTAAGGAAGAAATGTTTTACAATGAGGGTGGTGAGACGCTGGCACAGGGTGCCCAGAGAAGCTGTGGCTGCCTTATCCCTGGAAGGGTTCAAGGCCAGGTCGGACGGGGCTTTGAGCAAACTGGTCTGGTGGAAGGTGTCCCTGCCCATGGCACAGGGGCTGGAGCTAAATTATCTTTAAGGTCCCTTCCAACCCAAACCATTCTGCGAGTCTATGATAAAATCCACGTGGGTAAGAGTGAGCTGTTTCATAAAACTTACGAGAAGTAGCAGCATTTCTCAGTATCTTCTCCAAATCATTGCTTACACTGTATATTATTTAGGATAGTTTCTGTAGCAAATCTGTAAAGCAGTAATCCTCAAAGAAATGAAATGTCATGGATACTGCAAATTTTGCAACACCTAAACAATTCTAATAATATCGCTTTTTGGGGAAAAAAATAAAATTATTTACATTTGGAGCATTCAAAAATATTTGGTAGTGAGAATGGCTAGGAATATATACATACACCGAAACATTCACTTTAGACAAAAAGCTGTTACTGATCTTTTTTATGCATGAGGAATCCTAGAGTCCAACAGAACTAACTAATTTCTGAGGAGATACACAATTTCAAGGAGAAAACAAAGGTTTAAATCAATCCACTGCAGGCTTCAGAGAACTGATTTAGTTCAAATTATTACAGATTTTCTTTTGCAGAAGCTGTATTTTCTTAAGATGCTTAGAAGGTGACCACTTATGCTTGAAGCAATATATGCTAACTACATGAGTAACAGGCTTCAGTTCAATGTCTCCTGACATTGAAAAGAGAAAGTAGCTGCAAATGATGGAAAAATGGAGTAGCAGAATGATGTACAACTCAAAATGTGCCCCCCCTACCCTGGTGGAAGTGGCCAAACAATTTTCGAATTGATTCTGTGGGATGCGCTACGCTTAAACTGCTGTGCTTACAAACCAGCTTGGATTTCATATTAACACAAAGAACTTCAGTATGCCTGTCCATACCCTCACATCTCAGCATCAAGAATTAATGCCCCGTTACTGTCCCAGAAACACGAAAACAGACATTTTCACAGCTGAATTTCACAATTCACAACAGAACTACTTGTAGCCATGTTGAAGAGGAACACTTTTACAAAATGGAATGAGACTTAGTGCTCCTGTGAAAGAGCAAAGGTCAGGGCAAAGAAAAACAGAAGTCAGCGTCTGATAAAAAGAGAACAAGGATGCAGCTAGAACTTTAAAATAAGAGAAACTGTGTAGGCTATGAACTAATACAGGTCCCTAAACGAGTATTTAATGGGATTCTCCAGACAGAACTATAAAATAAGCTGAGCTGCAAAAAAACAGAAAGTTTTCAGCATCCCATATGGTACTAAAATCAGAAATAAAATTTAACTGATGACGACTGAACTAACAAGACCTGACAATCAACTCAAGAGCATGATACCCATGACGGTTTGGCTAACTTTTCTCAAAATTAACTAGTATCTGTCCATGGCATGACACTACACCGTGCCATATGGAACACTGGTATGACAGAGCACTGTCTGATTCATGTACCTCCTTATTGCACTCAACTATATAGTAGGCCATTCCCTGACTTCTCTGCCTTTTATTTTATTCCCAACATTCTTGTCAAGCCTAAGTAATTGCTCCATTATTTCAATAACGGTCAAAACTTCATATAAATTGAGAAGGTCTCTTACAGTACTTTTTGATTAAGTTATCAGAACAGTAAAATTTGTAAGGACTAGAGCAAGAATTATTTGGGAAAAAACAAAACAAAACAAAACAAAACAAATCAGAGAAAGACACTAAGACCATTACACATACAAGAGAGATGACAGCACAGATTCGGATTCCCACTGCTCTCAAACTCCCACTGGCAGCTTCTGCAGATTCAGTTGATAAACACTTGTAAACATATTAAGTTCTAATCTTTTTGCTAACTGTGAAGTACAACCAAGAATCTGGATGAAACAGAGAGCAGAGCTAGTATTATTTTCTCACATGCTACTCCGCAATAAAACTCAAAACCAATTTTACTTACAGGAAGTAAAACCTGCATTTACCTCCAAAGGCAAAACATCATTTCAAAGATGTTATTTCCACCTTAATTTACTGAAATACGGAAAGGACAGCAGTAGTTTGAAGTACTACCTTGATAAAAGTTTCCTGAGTCATAACTTTACCAACTGAGGAATAGTCCTGACTTTAAAAAGAGAGGAATGGTTCCCATTACATTAAACTGATAAAACACACCATGCTGAGGTCATTATTCTCACTTCAGTACATACTTTGCATACAAGCCTGAATATAAAGCATCCTTGAAGCTGAGAAGCTCTAAACACATTTGATATGCAGAAAGAAATAAGCACTTAAGTCTTACCTCAAGGAAGCCCAACTCATCTAGAAAGCTCCGAATGTACGTAATTATCTTTGCACGGGTTATAAATTTCTGCCTCACATAATCATTAAGAATTAAATCCAAGTACCTCTGACGATACCTAGTTTCCTGAAAAGAAAAAGTATCTTTAGAACAAGCTAGACAAAGTGGGCTACCAAAGGAAAAAATACCAAAACTAATGCTTGTTGACCATTCAGACCAATCTGTCAAATTGCCTTCAAGAGCAACAGGTATGACAAGTACCTTATCTTTGAGGCCAAAGTGAAGATGAGGCAACATGTGCAGGCATGGAGACAACAGAGTTATTTCATAAGGAATAATACTCAATTCCCCTTTCTTGGTTTTCCCAGGATTTCCCTCTACACCGATAATGTCCCCACGACGCAGCTTGTTGTTAATGCGAAAATACTCTTCCTCCGATTTGTAGAACCTGTAATCACAAAACCAACAGAAGTAGGCTTTTTTAAAATTCAGCATTGCAAACTGTCCTGCGAGTCTTTCCCCAGGCCAAATCCTTTAAAAAAAAAAAAAAAAAAAAAAAAAAGATTCTTCTTGCAGGAAAGCCATCCACACATTCTAAGCAAAACACTATCTGGCTGCCTAAGCCAACCCATAGATGAATAACCTAAGGAGATGAAGGAAGAGAACACCCAAATACAGATCTCTGAGCGTCAGAATGCAGTTCAGTTTAGAATACTACTGGGAATACCTCTCCTTACCTAGAATTTGCCATGACCTGCAACTTGACTCCTTCGCCACGAAGATCATAGAAAATCAGCTTCCCTCCAGAGGCACGCTTTGCATGGATTCGACCTAAATATCAAAGTACGCAGGTCATCAGGAAGAGTCCCTAGCAGAAAGGATACAGGGGCAGAAGCCACAGTATTATCACTTGGACAAAGATTCGTCAGCTCTCAACTGATCGCTAACTGTGAAACCGTTAAGCCTCAAAATTAATACCAGTGCACAGAAGACCATATGAACTCTGGATCCTGAAGCCCATATCACAATCTGATTTTGAAGTTGTAAAGGACGTTGCATGATTCCACTTAGTCTGAAGGGATGTGTCCTGAATAGTATAACACTGCAACAGACTTCATGACTGAGTAACAGGGGATCAGCAAAATGTAGAGAGAGACCAACCCATCACTAAAAGCAACTAAGTCTTGGCTTAGCAAAGCAACAGACATTATCCCAGATAAGCCTTTACCTGCCACTCTCATTGTAATGTCTGTCAGGTGATCTCCTGGCTGCAGGTGACTGTACTTCTCTATAAAATCTGAGAGAGACAAGTCTACATGGAACTTGTGGGGATAGGGATCTTCATTGGTGCCCTTCAGCTGCTGGATGGCATGGCTACGGATCTTGTAGTATTGCTGTCACGAGAAGCAAACAAAACCAAACAAGTTTGTTAGAAACTGAAAGTATTTTACAGGTTGTAAATTAAAACACAGCTGTCCTTATGTAGGAATATGTAGGTCTCTCCCCTTTTAATCATTTAGTTCCCTTCAAATAGAAAAATCAAATGCAAATCAGTAACATTTGTCCTCCGAACAGTAATAAGCATGAGGACAGATGCTCACATTTGGATCCAAGCTTTCCTCATCAGCACCAATGTTATTCTCAGAGTCAGAAATCAAGGAAGGCTTATTTAAATGCTTTTCACTTTGCTCTTTCTGCTTTGCCTCTTTTTCCGCTGTTTTTCTCTCAGCCTTTAAACGTCTCTTCAGCTCACTGCAAAAGAGAAGGAAACCAGATGCAGCAGGTACTCTCACACTTCCACAGGGAAGCACTTCAGAGTTTACTGTACAAACAACCCCGTTGTTTCTTTTGCCCTGCCCAAAACTCAAAGTTATCCTTAAGCATTTTCTTCCCTGAACTCTTCTAGTTCATTTCCTATGAGATACAAATACTCAGAGAAAGTTAAAACTCTAATAATTAAACGTTACACAAGGAGAACCTCGAGGATGCGTGCCTATGTTCCCAAGGACCTTCCACAGGTCATTTTATACATAAGAGCCTAGCAACCCCACGTAACATAGAAGCGAAATACGGCAAATTCTCCACTGAAGAACGTCAGACTCTGCTTAGGATTCCCGAAGCCGCCTTCGCGGCCCGGACCGGCCCTCCACGGCCCACAGGCGCCACGGCTCCCGACCCCGCCGGCCGGGACTTCATGAGGAAAAAGGCGGGCCCAGACAGACCGCAAAGCACCGACCTGCTTCGGTCATGAAGTGCCCGGCGCCACCGGAGCGCGGGCGCGGCCCTCCAGGCCCAGCCGCAGAGCCGCGCAGCGCCGTGGCTCAGCATGGCGCGCTCCGACGATCACCTGGCGGAGACACGCACCAGGCCAGCCGGGCATTAGCCGGGCATTCGCCTCGCCTCGCCTCGCCTCGCCTCCCCGGCCCGGCTCCACCTGCCCGCCCACCCTCACTTTTTGCTGAGGCGCGACTCGGCCTCTGCCGCCTCGCCCGTGCGCTCCACCGCATCCGCCATCTTCTCAGCGCCAGCCAGCCCTTCCGGCGCTCCCACGCCTGCGCGCCCGGAGCGGCGATGGCGGAACGCGCGAGCGCGGCGGCGGGGCGCTCGCGGTCGCTGTTCTTGTGGGACGACGGGAGCCCGATGAGGTTCTACGTGCGGCCCGGGCTGGCCAAGATGCGCCTGGCGCCCCTGGTGCTGGCGGGCGGCGGGCGGCTGTGCCGCGTGCAGGAGCCGGGAGCCGTGCTGCTGGCGCAGCCCGGCGAGGTGGCGCCCGGCGGGTCTGTTTCCACCGAGTACGTGACGGAGTGCGTGGAGCGCAACCAGCGGCTGCCGCTGGAACCCTTCCGGCTGCCCGCGCCGCCGCCCGCCCCGCCGCCCGCCGCCTCGCCGCGCGGGCGCCTCGCCTTCACGGAGGCGGAGGACGCGGCGCTGGTGCGGGCGGTGCGCGGGCGGGGAAAGGCGCGGGCGAGCGGCCGGGCGCTCTGGAAGGAGCTGGAGCGAGCCGGCCTGACGCGGCACAGCTGGCAGGCCATGCGCGACCGCTACCTGCGGCACCTGCGGCCGCAGCTCTGGGGTGAGCTGGGGGCAGCCGGCGGGGCGGCGGGGGTGAGGGGAGGTTGGTGGCCGGCGGGCCGGGGACGACCGTGGCCCTGGGCCCCGCTGCGGCCCGGCAGTGGACGCTCCCGTGTTCCCGCAGGGACCCATCAGCCGGAGGAGCCCGCGCAAAGCACAGGTCTTTTCGAGGCGGCTAATCGGGAGTTTGAAAGCACGGAGGTAAGCATCCAGGGCCAGCGCGCGGAGTAGTGCTGCTGCTGCAGCCGCTTCTGCATGCTGCAGCGCCAGAGAGTGAGCTGCTCGGAGCAGTCCTCCCCGATCGTCACGAAACGGCATAAGAGTAACTCAGCATCTTAAATGACTTTGCACAAAAACGTTCCTTCTGCTATGGCTAAGTGGGAGCTTCATGTGAGACGTGAACCACACGGTTTATGACGAATGGTGCCTTACTGTGGCATATTTTCTAAGTTTTGTTCCCTGCCCAAGTTATTTTGAAATTAACATGACAGTGTTGTGATATTGAAAGCTCTGTTGTCAAATGGAAGTCATCCTTTTACCTCGGGCATAAAATGTTGCTACGGCTGCACTAACATTTACTTTTGCTTTTTACACTTTGTTCAAATTCTCCCTTACATTTCATGCTTTTCTATGATCTCGCGTATCCTCGTTAACACATACAGCTTCACTTCAGTCACTGAATATTACTATGCCTAGTACTTTCTGAGATTTTATATACTGTAGGGTCACAGTGGAAGGTGGTTGTGTAGCAGTAACAAAAGAAGCTTGCCAGAAAATACCATGTCTAGTTGATGACTCCATTGCTCTCTATTTTAGTCAGGAAGTGACACTTCAGACATTTCAGAAGAACTTTGTTCACAACGTGGAGAGGGAAGGTGCCCAGGAGAAACAGCATCTGCTTTGAAAACTCAACCGGAGGCTTCTGCTCTCCCTGACGCTCAGTTACAAAGGGAAGAAAGACCAACAAGCACTTCCAATGCAGTGGGAGAAGTAGTAAAAACTATACAGCACTTCATGGAGAAGTTCAGCATGGACCTATTCACTGTTACGCAGGCCTTTCTGAAAAACACTGGTGAAGTAGAGACTACTTTATACTTTCTGCAGACAGGGCAGCGCTTGGATGGGTACCCTGTATGGAGCAGAGAGGATGATTTGGAATTGCAAAAAGATGATGAATGTGTCAGAAATAAATTGATAGCAAAATTTGGAGCTGAAAATGTAGCAAAGCGAGTAGCGTTTAGGAAAAGTTAGATAGCAAAGCAGAGGAGAATGACTGTTCTAGGACTGTGGCAAGAACTTAAGTCATTTCAGACATGCAAATGTGATGGAAAATTTGATGCAGCATTCTGAAGTTTCAGAAATGCTTTAAAATATTTCTTTATAAAAGGCCTGGTTTGTATTTTATTTGTAATACCGAGTACACTAAATATTTAAAAGTGGAAAATGGTGAAAAGAAAGGTTCAATTCAGGATCAAGTTTTCACTGAAACTTTGCTTTAAAGTGTGTATTTACTGTATAAACCAGCTGACAGTTCTACCTGTACATTGCTGCATACAAAGGATTTTGAATAGGGTCGGCACCAAAATCTGACAGAATCACATTAAGTCCTCTAACCTGTAATGCATTATTATTGTACAATAGCAGCCTGCTCTCTGTCACATGCCTTACTTCAAACTGTTCTGGATGGTCATTTAATAACCTGCTCTACCAGTTGTCATTACCTTTTTGTTTGTTTTTGCTAATGAACCTTGATTAGCAGCAGATATTTGGAGGTGATAACAATCAAAATGTAACTCTTCAAAAGGAGGGATCAAGAACATTCATGCCAGGAGATGAAGCACTTGGTCTCACATTAATGCTGAGATGTCTCAGCCATGTGTACTGGGAATGGCCAAAAAGGATCACTCTGCTATTACGATATTCAATTTCATGTTACAGAGATCTGCCAGTTAAAACTTCAGGCAAGTAGGCAGTCATCTCAATTTTTATTACCACTTCCAGCACGTGTTCTCCAGTGCTAATATTGCAGGGTTTAATGACATTACCATCTCGCCTCATTATTTCAAAAACAATAGCTCTGCCTCGGCTTGCATCTGTACATATTGAAGAATCACAGCTTCTTTAATTCAGGCAAAGTAACACTTGTACAGACCATATAGTCTAGTTGGAAAAAGTAGACCGGCTTTTGGGGCCACGTACAATAGTTCAAGTAGGAGATGCAAATTATGAAAGAGTGCTCAGAGCTTATTTAGGTACGTATCACCTAAGTCATGTTTGAGAGAGAGAAAACACCATAGCTAGTATACAGGCACAATCTGAAAAGATCTGTACTTTCAGACTGAAATTGTGCTCCGGTTACTGTTTTAATATTATTCAAAGTCAGTTCTGTAAATCTGGGATTCATCCTTTTGGCGAAATAAAATGGGCTGGTGAAAGCAAAGATTGATTTTTATTGTGGTTTTTTTTTGTTTAGTTCATTGGTTGTTTTTTTTGTCCTTAGAAATATATTCTGGCAATCTTGCTTATTGCACTGTGGCACTCAGAAAGATTAAGATGAATTAGCAAATTGCTGATTTTAAGCCGAATTCAAATTATATTGAAAGTCAACAATAACTTGATACAGTAAGACTGCTGCTTCAGAAAACTGCTGCCCTGAAACACCAACAGATTATTTGGGGAGCTAGCCAATATGACCCAGTAAATTCTAAAACTCTGTTTTAGAGTTTCACTGGACAGGTCAGTCCTGCTGAAAAAGTGAAAATTATTTGGTACACTGATGCTGCTCAGACTGGTTACCTGAGACGTGGGAGACCAGACAAGCACTTAACAAGAGTGTAAGACAACACAGCAAGTAAAGTTGCAAGATTAGAAACTTTACCAGCTGGATTTTAAATCCAAGGACTGCTGATGACCAGGTTCACGAACAGGAGAACTGTCCCTTCCCGCAACCAAAAACTCCCATTCTAGCTTGACTGGTGTACACATCTTAGCAGCACCATAACCTCAATTTAATGGTTGTCTTGTTTAACCAAAACTGCTCTAGAACTCAGAGTGGGAGGTAGAACCGGTTAAATGGCTGCAACATAAAAAGATCAGGTGTAAGGTTAATCATATCTTTTTATAATTCTAAGTGACAACTTTATGGTGTCTTTCTCAGGGCAATTAGACATATAATGCAAACTTCTGAGACCGCATACAGTGATTTTACCTTTGTAGAACCATACACGTTGTCTAACACTGAGAACCTTTCCATATGCACTTGGTGCACCCAGTACGTGTAGGAACTAAGACACAAAGAGCACAGCTTACTGACTGTCACCCTCTTTCATCTGTTCTGAACTCCCAAAAGGTACTGCTTATCCATAGATACTCTCTTGCTTGTGCAGGCACATGGGCCTAGGTCTCTTCAGTCCACTTTCCCATTAACAGGACCTGGAGACATCACTTCATCATACGGTTCTGCTTCATGGCATCCTGTATCTGCCTTCTCCCACAAAAAAAAAAAAAAACCTTGTTTGCTTTGTCTTACCAAAGACACAGTTACATTCCTTCCAATATGCTAGAGACATTTTGCCTTTCCATGTTCACATCAGGTCCCTGTACTACCAGGGAGCGTCAGGAACGCTCTTTTTGTAGCTTAGAGTAGTATACAAATTTCTTCTGCCTTGTGCAGCAACGTTTGTAAACCTAGGAGGGTGAGCAGAGTGGCAATATACATGCCAGAACTTTGAGTTAAAGACGATTCCAGAGGCAGAAATACTGGGTCTGCAAATGTTTATCTGGAATTTGGGTATTTCCCAGTTGCTTCCTTTTAGAGTTTGTCAGCATTCATCAAAAATCAATGAATTCTGGCCTTTCATAACTGAAGTTACCAGTGAAGAACTGATGGAATGCACCATGTCGAAGAGCAACAGGCAGGAATACTAAAGTTAGTTTTCAAATGTCCCTTTGATTGGTGACTTCTCCATCTTCCACTTCATTGGTATAAAAGCAGAGTTTACTACTAACTAACTTGCACAATGTAAACTTGGTATTTGTTTCTAAGCAGACTTCCATGATCTTTATTTCATGCATGTACCAAAAGAGGTAGCCACAGTTTTAAACATCATGCTCGCTATCTTGAAAGTTTGGGGGCCTTTTTGTTTTTTTGGTTTTTTTTTTTTTTTTCCTCCTCCAAAAAGTACTTTGTCATCTTTGCTTGAACTAAGACAACTTTAAATTTTCATGTGACCACACTGTGTGGCTTTGGTGCTTCCAGAAAAAATAGTCTTACCAACTGCTGTATTGAAGAAACATAGCTAAGGAGTGTAGTAGAAATACACTGAAATCAACAATCCTGCTTTTTCTCTGATTAAGCTTATGAGGCAGAATTTAAAGTAATTTTCATAACAGTACATTAAAAAAAAATGCATTGTATGTTATTTTTATGTTACTTGTTTACTGGCTAACTTGAAACACGATGAAGGTTTTTGTCCAGCTAAACATTAGATACACAGAATTGACTGTGTCCACTGAAAACAAGTATTCATAATAAAACTTAACACCACTTAAGCTGACATTTAAAGTCAGTATTATTCCAGTTTTACACATGATGAAAAGGAAATTCAGACTCTGGAAAGGTACAGAAATAACACCTGAAGTCTTTCCAACCACTAAGAATAAGAGCTTTGTTTTAAACAATACGATTCATACTTAGAGAACCCTGTCTTAGCGATCTTGAGAAAGAAACCATGTCCCTGAGGAACAAACATCCTGTAATCATCCATAGCTGCTTTAAAATGCCATTAGTCTAAGTGATCAGGTCCGATTGCTTCATCCAAAAGAAAAGTGTGACTGAAAGTGAAATGTGGGTAGTGACTGGCTTTGTACTGAAGGACTCACCAGCAGCTGTAGGAGAAATTCAGCTTGCATGGTGTACAGACTTAGTAGGGCGTCTGAATAATTCAGTGTGCTAGTCCCTGATTAGTGGTAAGAGATGTCCGGGTTCAATTTCAAAGGACTCCTTCAGAAACACTGACGTTCATCTAGTCCCGCACCCAGAAACCAGGAAAACCCTGCTAACTGGGTAAGAAGTTGAGGTCTGCCCCTGCCCACTCACCCCTTACAAGGCATGAGTGTACACAGGGCCATTTGAAGAAACAGAATTCCATGGATAAGAGAAATGCTGCAACAAAACACTGGTCTGTGAAATCTAAATAATTAGCAGTAATGCTGAATGTAACAGAAATTGAAAGAAAGTCTCCACCCTCCTACCTAAATTGTCTTTCCCACTGCTGACCAATTCTGCTTCTAGAGCTGCCTTGCTGGGCAAATAACCTCCCACACTCACCACCTGGTGTTGCACAATCCATCCTGCAACTCTCTTCCTAACTGCTGCAGGATGGTCTCTTACCCCAAATGGACACACAGGATCTGGAATGCTGATGCCTACCCCAGTGAAGGTAATTACAGAGCTGTTTCTGGCCTGGGAAGCTCTCCCATTTTGCTAGGGTGCTACTCTTTGTGGTCTTAAAACTGACTGTTTTCTTAGGATGGCTCACTGGTTCATTCCACAGGTCCACTCTTCAGCTAGAAGCTACCTTCTCTCGCTAACCAACGAAGCTGCTCAGTGTCTGTCTTCAAGGTTATTGTCCCTACTTTCCTCAGCAGAATCAGCACATATAACCTTCATTAATTCTCTAGTAAAAAAAAAAAAAAAAAAAACAACAACAAAAAAAACAAACCACAAAACAGCTGCTGTGAATTTGTCAGAAGAGCCTTCTTCCTGCTATTAGAGATTGCTATTCAGTTAAGGTGAATCATTCTCTGTCACCCTTCACACATACACAATAGGTAGAGGCTGGACACCGTTTCTTGCCTATACACCTTCAAATATGAACGCAGTCACTATATCCCATAATTTTAAAATTCAGCAGTATATATTTCTCTTTTGAAGACAATACTGCAACTTTTTAATAACATGCAAATGAGGTCTAGTCCTCCAGGTAGACATTGTCGCTTTTCTATAGCAGGCACCAAATGCCATCTGGCAGATTTAATACGAGCACTCCTCACCAGAGCTACACTGGCATGAGGAGGAAGCTGACAAAGTGAATAGGGCCTTGGGGCAAGGGGCTGCACCCAGGGCAGATAGGGAAGCCGAGCACCTGGAGGAGCAGTGAACGGGGGGATGAAGGGGTGTGTGGTGATGTTGGTGGAGAGGGATGTGGAACACAGCTTTCCACGGCCCTGAACACCTTGATCCTGACTGGACCCTCCTCAGATCACCTCCAACGCCCAGCCTTGCCTTGATCACCTTCTCCCAAGGATGCAAATCCTCAGAATTGAGCCTCATCCCTTGTTGATGCTTGCAATCCTGCCTTCGGACAGCTGCTTTGCTGTCTGCAGGGTAGTGGAAATACTACAGCTCTGGAGTAATATTGGAATGCACCATTAAACAGATGCATGTTAAAGGGAGGCTGCAATTTACAGATGAAACAGGATGTTTAGAAGGGAGTTGTAGGCATTTGATTCCCCAAGACTGGCAACAAGCTTTTCTCCTTGTCTTATGGAACATTGTTAAAAGAAGTAAAAATAATGCCACTGTTCAGGTTCGAGCTACATATCCCCATTGGAGGTGGGAGAATGGCATTTCTAATGAACATGGAAGAAAATGGCATAGTCTACTAAACATGATTTTCATGTGCTCTGAGACAAGAAATATTCTCACCAAATAGTTCAACAGGGTAACTTCCCATTCTCTTCTCGACTTCTTCGGTCCACTGCCATAAAACTATTTTCACAGTTCCAGTATTTATACCAATGGAATCTGTACCCTTACCTTGTCTTTACAGTATCAATTTTAGCATAAATTCTTCTCAGTCACACAGGTAGACTGTGAGAACTTCTGTGAGCACAAGTATTCTTGGTCTTGAAAGCTAGAAGACAGAATTATTTCAGCTGAAAAATAAATGGATTCATATAGACCCAGAAATGGATCCCCATATGCAAACCCACGAGTTTTTATTTTCAACTATAGCTGGTTTATTCCATTTTCCCATTATATAGTAAGTGAACACAAACATTTCCCCAACACTGCCACCATGGCTGGATGCCCAGGCACAGGAATGAAGGAAGAGAAAAACAGCTTGAAAACTCAACCATTCTGAAAAAAGGATCTTTCCAGAAACCAATGTCTGGTCATCCTTGCATCTCTTCTGGCATTACATATCCTGGGTGGCAGCACAACAAATAATGTTCTCTTTATTCAACTTCCATTTATATTTCCTCTTCCTTTGCAGTGCAATTGCTCCCTGTGGTCTCACTAGTATTTAGCTGTGGTCTGTGAGATGTTTGAGCTCTGCTATCTGATCCCACTCCTTTCTGTTTGCTCCAACCCGCACATGCTTTCTCTCTCACATAAACCATCGACTTAATTTGGAAAACAGACTAGGATTACTT